TGATTTCTGATGATTGAGGATCCAGTGATGCTAAACCCTTTAAATTTTCCTTTCTCACCTGACCATATTATACAACCTGCTGACTGCAGTATGGTCGTTTCATTATTGTGGTTAAATGTCTCTCATGGTAGGCATTATGAATGGCTTACTCTTGCTCACCAGTCATCCCCTTCAGATCACATTATGGGGATCTTATTTCAAGTGGTAGTAGGAACTGCAGATGCTGGAGAATCTGAGATAACAAGGTGTAGAGCTGGATGAACACAGCAGGCCAAGCAGCATCAGAGGAGCAGGAAGGCTGATGTTTCGGGCCTAGACCCTTCTTCAGAAAGTGAGAAAGTATCTCAAGTGGGACAGGATGCCAAAAGTAGGCTCAAAGACCTGTAGATAGATAAACAGTCTGTGTGAATTCAAATTAACCACAACACTTTGATAAGAGTTGTCAAAGGAAGTAACAAGCAGGAAATGTCGATCTCACTTTGTACCAAAAGGCATAATGTGCATTTTCATATTCCTGTTGGAAAAGACAAACTCACGTATTGCGTTGCAGTGGATTTTACCATTTGTATTGGAAATGAAAGAAGAATAGAAAATGGTTCTATTTTGGACACTTGTGTCAAGTACATTAAGTACTGTCAAGTTTAGCATGATTACATGCAAACGAAAGTTCCCATTGCCCTGCCTTGACTTTGCATCACAGGAAGCACCCTGTATTGTATCAGCATAATGATTGCATTTCTGCACCAACTGTGCTGTGACCTGCGTCAGACTAGTAATTGGGTATAGACTACAGCATGAAAATTTGTCCCAGTGGCAACTTGCTTGAAACTACCAAATATTTCAAGTCATGGTGGAAGCACAGTATGCTAACTCATTGCCAAATTCATCATTCTGTTTATAATGTTTTGTATTAATTCATGTATTTTCAACTGTCTTTCTGTACTCTTTCCATTTTCAAACTTGAAATATAGTAATTGCGTGTTGCAAATTTACTCCCAAGATTGTTCCACTGATGTCTTCAACTAGTCAATGCTGTCAGAAATGATTTCATTCCACTTTATTTTTCCATTGGAGTTTCAACAACCTTTTGGAGATTACAGATTTTATAAGCTGAAGGCTGTCCAGTGTCTAAGAGCTTTTGTTGAGTGACACATGCAAATAAAGTCTCAGTTATGATCTCCAGTGTTTGCTGCATTGGCTGATCTCATTTGGGATGGTCATAGAAGACTAAGTGTTTAGCGGAAAAGTTTGCAATTCTATTTCTACCCAGCAATTCCTGCTGGAAATGTGAATATTGGGTGAGAACAGAATTGGCCTCAACTCCCTCTGCAATTGTGTAACATGCTGGCGTTAATTGTTAAAGATTTTGGACAAGGTAACTCAAGCTGCATTGCACCTATGGAATCATACCCAGCAATATACTGCTGAGAGAAGTTGCTTTTTCATAATTAAAATAATTTTAACCTTAAATTATATTACAAAGCAATATCCTTAAGTGGAATAAAATTAGCCAGCAAACTGCAGTTTAATCAGTCTATTGTTGAAGTTAATGTGGTACAATTCCAAAAGAAGCTTTGGCACATTCTCTCTAAGATTACCGTCATACATTTTAAAAAATCTGATTTTTGAAATCATATGAGTTTGCAACTCTTCTTACTCATTAACTTGGCAAAGCCTAAAGGCTGTATCACTTATCATAACATGACTAATCATCATTTTCAGGATTGTTTCAATGATTTGAATAGATTCAGTTTCAAGTCGGACATAATTCTATTTTACTGGAAGCCTGATCAGAAAGAGAAATTGTAGGCCTTGGTGCTTATCCTGTTTCTAGTTTGCCCTCCCTCCCTACTCTCAAACAAACCTTCCTTCTCAACCATGCAATGAACTGTGAGGCAGGAGAAAGATGACGTTGGCACCAACTGAGGTACATGTTGGTGACATTTACCAGAAACATGAAATTAGGGTTGTGCATGGAATATTTGGGGATGGGGGAGAACAGAATAGCATCTTACATTGTAATTACTTTGAGTGCCTTTTCTCATGCATGCAGGGGCAGAAAGAGTTCAATGTTACTGTCCCAAAGCTTAACCTTCTGAAGATCGTATTAGAAGCCCAGTGCATGATGTGAATGGCTGTCTGTTTTCAGACAAATGTTCAGATATTCTAAGGATAGTGCGCATCCCTAGTTTCCGCACAATATTTACAAAACCAGGGCCCTCTCCAGCAGTGAGGGGTCAGGAAATGTTCTCTTTCAGAAATGCTTTTTGCAGAGAAAATCTGTGCGGAGGTGAAACGTTGAAATTTGTAATGTAATTCTGTCCTGATTTTATGTTAATGAAAACTTCATCCATCTGAGCTAGACCAGCCAGCAAGATGCCACTGCAGTCCATGCTGAAATATTAGCTGACCATTCCTGGATAGGTGGTTGGTGTTGCACAAATGGCCATTAATCCTTTCTGCACAAAAAGATAGACCAGGAAGGATAAAAAGTACTTATGTAACAGCTATACTGTGGCAGACACTTCACATAATGTGGCACCAAGAGGGGACAGAGGAGCTGGAAACTTTGAGTTAAGAAACTGAGAGGCAGCATGTGTGGGTCAGGCTATATTTTACCTCAGCACAATAGCAATATTTTACCTGTGCAGCAGGGTCATGGTTGTGATTTTATAAGTGGGCACTATCTAAAGTGCTCAAGTTCTCTGACCAATAGATTAATACAGAGGCAGGTGCTTACATTTGTTTGCCTTGTGCTGCAGGTATGAAAAATAATGCCTGCTCTATCTTCCAACTCTACAACAATACAATTTGCCATGAACTCCCAATAAACACCGCTGTGTTGACACATGGCAAGCAAGAAAGAAGGTCAAGGGATTCTGGCACATCTTGCTAAATAAATGTCTGTTGTTGTTTTAGCAGTATCCAAAGTAGCCATTTTGGCTTGTAGACCATCTGATCAACAGGTTACTTGTCCAGTGAATGCTGTTGTTTCTGGCAGTGTGTGTCTTGAGCAGTGTTTTTCTCCTTTTGATGCCCCCTTTTTGGGTCCCTGCCTAGATGGTTAAATCAATACCAAGACAATTAATTTTTAATCTAAAAATTTGAACAGAAATGTCTCTACTTTAGCATGATTGTTATGTAGCCTGCCATGTATCAATTGTCAAATTAAAGCTGCCTTTACAAGCAAAAACTAAACTGCTGATACCTTTGTACAATGCAGACTACAGGAAAAAAATGCTTCCCGAAATGATAAAGATTGTCCAGCTTTCGCGTGGGAAATACATATTGTCTCATTGTGTCTCACTTTTTTTACTCTTCAGCTTCCATGTTTTATTTAACTATTTCTGTTTACCTCATCTTTCTAACTATCTCTTACTTTGGTGACTGCCATTGTTTTGACTTTCCTCAGCTCTATCTTAATTTCCCTTAGGAAGTTTAAGTAAATTCAAAAGATCAATGTTGAAGATATATTTCAAGTGAAAGTGATCTGAACTGTTACTTTAACAATGTAATCACGAACTTTTGGTATGCAGGATATGTATCAATATAGTGAGAAGTATATCAGTGATGCCTAGATCCTGTTAGTAAATGTCAGTACTCTTGGTTGGCCCTGAATGACAGTTTCACTAAAAAGATACTTTTAAATATGTATTGATTTCAATGGAATTAAAATGTACTGAATTGAAATTTCCAAAAACCAGAATGCAATGATAGACTTTAATGAACAATTATGATTAGACAAGAATTATGACTGTGAAGAGCATGGACTAAATTTCTCTTGTGTGTTTCACCTTTTGAAATATGCATCCCACTTCATGCAATCAAATCATTTTGTTCAATGATGTTGAAGTACTTTGTATTAGAATTTGAGGAATGTTTATAACTACTAAACACTTCTGAATTTTGCTTTTCTTGGAATAAACTCCAAACTTTTATTATTTTTAAACTTAAACTTAGAAATGCTACCATAATTCTCGTAGGGAAACCTTGACAGCTTTGGGTGAACTAGCTCTCAATCTAGAGTCAAAGAGATATACAGCACGGAAACAGACCCTTCGGTCCAACTCGTCCATATTGAAAAGAGATGAAGGGTCTAGGCCCGAAACGTCAGCCTTTCTGCTCCTATGATGCTGCTTGGTCTGCTATGTTCATCCAGCTCTGCACCTTGTTGTCTCCGATTCTCCAGCATCTGCAGTTCCTGCTACCCCTATCCCAAATAAATCCAGTCCCATTTGCCAGCATTTGGCCCATATCCTTCTAAACCCTTCCTTTCATTTACCTATCCAGATGTCTTTTAATTATTGCAATTGTACCAGCCTCTATTACTTCCTCTGACAGCTCATTCCATACATGCACCACCCTCTGTGTGAAAATGTTGCCCCTTAGATCCCTTTTAAATCTTTCCCCTCTTATCTTAAACCTATGCCCTTGAGTTTGGACTCCCTCACCCCAGGGAAAAAAGCCCATGTCTATTTACCCTATCCATGTCCCTCATGATTTTATAAACCTCTGTAAGGTCATTCCTCAATCTCCACTGTTCCAGGGAAAACAGCCCCAGTCTATTCAGCCTCTCCCTATAACTCAAACCCTCAAACCCAGCAACATTCTTGCGAATCTTTTTTGAACCCTTTCAAGTTTCACAACATTCTTACTATAGCAGAGAGACCAGAACTGCACGCGGTATTCCAATAGTAGCCTAACCAATGGACTGTACAGCAACAACATAACCTCCCAACTCCTATACTCAATGCACTGACCAATAAAGGCAAGCATACCAAACACCTCCTTCACAATGAAAATAAATGAAAAGTATTTCTTCCTGCGGGAAAAGATCTTTGATGAGTTATTCAGGAAGACCGATGCTTTCGTGCAGTTCTTAGCCTATACAGCACACAGTTGTGCAACTTTGAACAAGTTGATATTCAATATTTCTAATTTTTGTCCAGCTTTTGTGCAAAAATATTCCTATAACATGAGCTAAAATTGGGTTTTCATAGGATGATCCAAGAATCCCCTCTGCCACCTGGCTGGGAGATGAAATATACAAATGAAGGTGTTCGATATTTTGTGGACCATAACTCTCGTTCCACCACCTTTAAAGATCCTCGAACTGGATTTGATTCCACTTCTAGGTAAATATGATTTCTGTTTAGGATTGTTGCAATTTTATTTTTGCACTGTGCCAAAATTATGAAAATATGAACATTCCAGCATATTTACATATAAATTGGAATGGTTTATTTTTGTCATTTGTATGTAATCATATTCTCTGCTATTACCAAAGACAATTAGTAATTTGAAATGGAAAAGCATTGAGTGGCATGGATTGAGCCTAGCTGTAAATGTTTATTTTGGTCTAAAGTTTGGTTTAAGGAGAAGCTGAAGAAGTACACTTTACTTAACATGGATATACATTGTTATCTTTCATGTTAAACAAAAAGTATCACTTTAAGAATTAAGCTTTTTCTTTAAATATCCCATTCCCAAGATCACTCATGCCTATATTACCAGTTGATGATTAGACTTCATCAGTTTACCTTAAAAAAGGTATTAAAAAAACCCTATCAAGCTTGACATACTTGCAAAGCATTTTATGATCCACCTTTATTATGAAACTAATTGGAAAAGGCATATGGATTTGTAATCTTCATGTTTACACACATAAAGGACAAATGATGGTTAAGAAGGCAAATGTACTGAAGTTCATTAAAATGCCAAAAGGCATCTTTTCAAGTTAGAGAGTCATACAGTCATAAAACATGGTAACAGACCCTTCAATCGAACCAGTCCATGCTGAGCATAATCCCAAACGAAACTAGTTCTACCTGCCTGCGCTTGGCCCATATCCCTCCAAACGTTTCTTATTCATGTACTTACCTAAATGTCTTTTGAACGTTGTAGCTGTACCTGCACATACCACTTCCTCTAGAAGTTCATTGCACACACTAACCACTCTCTGTGTTTAAAAAAAACTTTCATGTCTTTTTTAAATCTTTATTCTCTCACCTTAAAAACATGCCCCCTAGTCTTGAAATCCCCCACCCTAGGGAAAAGACACCTGACATTCACCTTATCTATACCCCTCATGATTTTATAAACCTCTATAAAGTCACCCCTACACTCCACTGAAAAAAGTCCCAGCCAATCCAACCTCTCCCCATAATTCGAACTCTCCATTCCCGGCAACATCCTGGAAAATCTTTTCTGAACCCTCTCCACTTAATAATATCCTTATCTATCAACTTTTCATAATTAACATTGCCATAATTAAGACAATACCTGAAAATTGTTCATTTGACATTCTTTGACATTAATGTTTTTGCTTTTAAAAACATTTAAACGATAGTATGTATGATAATTCAGATTTGAAATTGCAGTTCCTGTAGCTGGTTTCCTTTGTGCACAAAAAGATAGACTCTGCATAAATAACATCTTAGTCTGTATCAGGCTCCTCAGCTGGTAGTAAACTCTTGCACACCTCTGGTGCCTCTGTTGCAATTATAGAGACAAGTAGCAGAAGAAAATCTAGATTTAAGTTTTTCTCCCTTTTGAAAGAATGATATCTTTGGAGAGATCGGTGGAGAGAACTATCTCATGAACCTACCTTAGAACTAACCTGATTCCTATAGTTGAGGATCTTGCACTGAGCCCTACATCCATAAGGGTATAAGAGGCTTCTGTGTCATACTTGTGGGGTCTTGTAATGTATTGACAATTATTATGTGGAAACTTGGTGTATAGATGCACAAATAACTCGCTAACCAGTGTAAATTCATTTAGTAAAGTCTATAGTACACTAGATTTCACACTGATGTCTTCCACTAGTTGATACTTGTGTGGTGCAAATCATTTAATAAAGTCTATAATATGGTGGATTTCACACTAGTGACACTTGAACTCCAAAGCATTATTTTATACAAAGTCAAAAAAGTAATTGATACACTTGCAAACATTCTTCATGCTCATTTCACTAAGTGCATCCATTGCTTATTTCTTTCAACATTTCATACTTTCATTTTTTCATCTGAATTAATATGCATGTAAGTAAATTAAGTAAAATGCTTTTAAGAATCACTAAATTACCACTTAGAAATTAACTGGTTTTATGTTATCTAATAGCTGGTTATGAAATGTGTTATGCTAACCAGATTGAACTTCAGTTTGTAGCTAGTTACTATGATGACAAGACAAATTTTTTAATAACTGCAGTTCTAAAAGTGGATCTCCAGCAGCTTATGATCGAAGCTTTCGATGGAAATATCACCAGTTCCGGTTCCTTTGCCATGTGAGTAGAGTAATGAAAGATAAAGAAATATATTTCAGTATTTTTGATAGTTTTATTTATTTTGATATTTACATGTTTTCTATAACAAATTAATATGTAAGTTAATGGTATAAAATAAATTATACTAATATGTTCATCTAAAGTTAATGATTATAGTGATACAATTTCAGTTTAAATTTTTTCTAAGGGTAACAGCATGTACCTATCTGACCAGATTATTCAGCTCACAATAAAATTTCTAGTTAAGGAAAAATCTTCACACTTGACATCTAATTTTATTGAAGTGCAAAATGAATTCTTTTGACATTTATTTTCTGGTTACCAGAAGAATGGAAACAGAGTATTTCACTTAATGTTTACTTCTTGGATAATGTGAAACAGCTTTGTCAGAATCAGCTGACCAAGAACTAGTTTCCAGCTGTGCTAAAATGATATTCAAAGACAGCCTTTGGAACTGAAACCAGGTTTTTTTACTTGAAGATACAATGTATACATGGCATGTAAGTTAGGGGCAAAATATCAGTAAGAGGTTTTGTTGTTTTATTTAAAACTAATTTTCCACTTCCTTGTAACTGGGTTGGAAACAATATAGCAGACCAAGACAGAGATTTTGCACAATTCTGACTGGAATTAGAATCCTGAAAGTGTAGTCAGTATTTTTTCATTCTTTTAAGATATTATTTCTTCATTTGAATAGAATTCTGTTATTTAACCCCCCTTGATAGTACTTTTCGATATGGTGCAGAACTAGTGAGCAACACAGATATCCTTGAAATACCTGGCCATTTCAATCTTGAAACGAATGGGTTTTAATTTTGAAGTTCTGTATTTCTGCCTAGAATTTTGAATTTATTCTGTTCTCTTATTTTGGTGAATTTTGATTGTTGTTTCAGTCCAATGCATTACCAAGTCACGTTAAGATCAGTGTATCCAGACAGACTCTATTTGAGGATTCTTTTCAGCAGGTAATAAACTTTAAAATCTAAATGCTGGAGGTAAAGGCATCATATGGAAAAGAATAAACATTAAATGCATTTTCATTATTTCTGCTATCAGCAAAATTACTGCTAAGACTGAAAGCAACATTATGTAGCCATTTCTTTTTAATTATACATTGGGAAGTGCAGAGATGTTTAGATGAGTCTTAACCCATCTGCTGCTATTACTATTGTTCCCAAATCTGAAAAGCGATCACCCCGACCAGGCTTGTTCATTAAGATAGGTTCAGACTGCTGAATTATGTCAAGGTTCACCAGGTGTCAGCCATTGAAAAACCTCTCTGGGAAACATTGTATTGAGGACCTCTCTAGAAAGGCCGGATTGGATGTATTCCTGATATTTGATCACATGATAATTCTCTGTAGGATGCTGTTATAGCATTTGTCCTACCAAGTAAGGCACATACACGGGACACTTTCTTTGACTGTTTGTTCTGAGGAAATCCTTGTACTCTTTCTCCATATCTGAAACTTAGTTGCCTATCATTTCTATCAGAAACATCTGTCCATTTGTAGCCAGCTGCAGCTGCTGGTAGCTCACATAATTTGCAGTTAGCAATCTATATTTAAGTTGTGGATTTGTATCTTATATCACATTCAAATTTATTGCTAACTTTTTTATTTTATTACTCAATGTGAATATCAACAATTTTTTTTGTCAACTTGCTGCATGCAGTTGTCTTTTACTTGTCAAGTTTGCTTTTTCTTTGTTTTTACTAGTGTGTATCGTTGCTGCATATCTCTTTGATTCTTGAATTGATTATCATTCTGTATCCATCCTGTCTGCTTTTGATTTTAACTTTGTAGGTCTCTAGACTTTACCACTACACTAATTTTCTTATCTTAACAATCTACATTACAGAATAAAGATATTGAATAAGAAAAGTATAAGGAGATGCTCACAGTTAACTTAAAGTTTCTAGCTTTTTTTTGCCACATACATTGTTTGGGCTGGACCATATGGTGGTTGGCGGCAAAACCCAGCTTTAAATCAGTGCAATAAATGATATGTTACCATTATAATAACTTGAAGATCTTATACAATAACTGTTATAGTCAGTCATAGAGTTATATAGCACAATAACGGACCCTTCCATCTGACTTGTCCGCGCAGACCAGATATCCTAAACTGATCTAGTCCCACTTGTCAGCATTTGGCCCATATCCCTCTAAACCCTTCCTATATGTGTACCCGTCCGTTGATAACTTGCAGGAGCTAATTTACCTGAATTCAATTGGCACCATCAATTAAAAATCAGGGCTATTTATTGTTATTATCTAATATTCAACTCACTCACATTGGACACTGGAGCATTTCAAGTGTAATTCCTTATATAACATGATCAGAAATCATTGTCCTTGAGTGTCTGTAAAATGTAAACTGACTCAAAAAGGCCCTGGATTTTATTTTCTAATTGATAACTTTGAAATATTTTGAATTATTTGACATACAGATAATGAACATGAAGCCCTATGACTTGCGACGTCGACTGTATATCATCATGCGTGGGGAGGAGGGTTTGGATTATGGAGGTATAGCAAGGTGAGTAATACTAAACAAGAAGATTTATTGGGGCAACAGCTGCTTCTTTCTGCTAGTTGAGTAATGAGGTTATGGTTTCAAGACCGGCTATAGACTTGTGCACATAATGAGGGATTATGGTATTCCCAAAGATGTTGTTTTACATTTGGAATATTTAAGTTAACTGAGTGTGCACCTGTTCAGTTGGATACAAAAGAACACAAGGCACTAATTGAAAGACAACAATGACTTTTATATTCATCCTCACATTCTCTGTGCATGACAGAATACATAACTGAGCGTGCAAAACTTAACATGTTAATCTATATGGGAAATGTAATCAAATAAGCTTTTTTTAAAAGCAACTTTTTATAGCGATATTCTGGCCAATTAAAGGTGCTCTGATTGTGAATTTCTGAAAAGATACAAAATGGCATGACACCTGCATCAAACTACAATGAAGTCCTGATTCCCCTTGCTTCCATGTTTGATGGCTTATGAAGAGTTTTGTGATGATGAGAATCCAGTGACGTTTGAAACTTGCTGGATGGCAAAACCTTTTATCAGCAAGTTGAGTTGTCATTACAATAGTGGTTCAATCTTCTGTTCTACCAGCTTGCATTTCCCCATGTGTTTGTTTGTGATTTAAAGTACTGGATCTGCCACAAATCAAAGAAAATTAGCCAAAACCTAAATGTTCACCCAAAGAGAGACCAGCCATGCGTCCCCTACTTAGAGATGAACTCCAATAACTTTGTTTTTGTCTTCCACATAGTCATACAGCGCAGAGTAGGTCCTTTGGCCCATCTAGTCTGAATTGACCAACTCACAATAATCTACACTTTTCAGCACTTGGCCCATAGCCTTAAATGTTATGTCATTTCAAGTGCTCATCCACAACTTTTTAAAGGTTGCGAGGTTTCACACTTCTCCTGCCTCTCAGACAGTCCATTTTAGATTCCCACCACCCTCTGGGTGAAAAAAAGTTTTCCTTCAATCCCTCTAAACCTCCTACCCCTCACCTTAAAATTATGCTCCCTCAGTATTGACCCTTCAACTAAAGGAAACAGATGCTTACTGTCCACCCTGTGTATGCCCTTCATAATCTCATACATCTCAGTCAGGTTCCTGTCTCAGCCTTCTCTGCTCTAAAGGAAGCAACCAAGTATATCTCGCATCTCTTCATACTTAAGATGCTCCAATGTTGCCAACATCCTGGTGAATGTCCTCTGCATTGGAGGGAATGCAATCACATCCTTTGACCAGAACTACCAGCTGTGGCTTAACCAAAGTTTTTTCCAGCTCCAACATAACCTCCCTGCTCTAGTCTGCAACTGAAAAAGGCAGGTGTACCATATGCCTTCTTAACCACCTTATTTTCTTGTCCTGCCATCTTCAGGGATCTGTGGATAAGCACCCCAAGATCGCTCTGTTTCTCTGAGCTTCCTAGTGTCTTTCCATTCATTGGGTACGCCCTTGTCTTGTTACTTCTTCCAAAGTGCATCATCAGCTTGCACTTTTCAGGGTTAGATTTCACCTGCCATGGATCTGCACATCTGACCAACACATCTATATCATTTTGTAACCTAAGATCTTCTTCCTCAATATCAACCACTGCCACCTGACCAATCTTTGTGTCATCCACAAACTTAACTTATCATCCCCCTCCCAACATTCTCATCCTTATCATTTATATATATCTTGATCGATAAGGAACTTACTATTGCTGTTCCCTGTGATACACCTTTGGACGCCAACCTCCAGTCACACAAACAAGCCTCTGTACCACGACCCACTGTCTTCTACCACTAAGCCAGATTTGGATCCATCTTGCCAAGTTTCCCTGCCATGTGCTTTCACCTTCTTTATCATTTTCCCATGTGGGATCTTGTTAAAGGCTTTGCTGAAATCCAACAAACTAAATCAACTGCATTACCCTCACCTACACATCTGATCATAACAACTTAAGATGTATGAGAAGAATTAGGTCATTCGGCCCATCAAGTCTGCTCCACCATTTGATCATGGCTGAAATGTTTCTCAACCCCATTCTCCTGCCTTCTCCCCATAGCCCTTAATCCCCTTACCAATCAACAATCTCTGTCTTAAATACACTCAATGACTTGGCCTCCACAATCCTCTGTGGCAATGAATTCCACAGATTAACTACTGTCTGGCTGAAGACATTCCTCCTCATCTCAGTTCTGAAGAATTGTTCCTTCGCTTTGAGCTTGTGCCCTCAGGTCCTAGTCTGTCCTAATAGTGGAAACATCTTCTCCACATCTACTGTATCCAGGCCCCTCAGTACTTTTAGGTTTCAATCTGACCCCCCCCCATCCTTCTAAATTCCACTGAGTACAGACCCAGAGTCCTCAACCGCTCCTGATATAACAAGCCCTTCAATCCAGGGATCCACTTGTAAACCTCCTCTGGACCCCCTCCAACATCAGCACATCCTTCCTTAGATATTCAGTCCACAACTGCTCATAATACTCCAAATGTGCTCTAACCTGAGCAGCTCCTGGAAAAACTCCACCAGATTTATTAGGCATGAATCTCCCTCTGACAAATCCGTTCTGACTATCCCTGATCAAACCTTGCCTCTCCAAGTTGCGATTAATTCTCTACTTAAGAATTTTCTCCAATACTCTGTAATTCCCTGGCTTATCCCTACCACTCTTCTTGAAAAGTAGAAGCTCAGTAGCTGTCCTCCAGTCCCCTGGCCCTGTGGCCAGAGACAAATAAAAATTTGGGTCAGAGCTCCTGTAATTTCCTCCCTCACCTCCCGCACCAGCCTGGAATGCAAATCATCAGGACCAGGGGATTTGTCCTCTTTTAAGCCCGCCAAAACCTCTAAGTATCTCCTCACTCCCTATGTCAATCTGCTTAAGAAACTCATAGTCCCTCACTCCAAATTCTGCACTTACATCCTCCTCCTCTTGAGTGAAGGCAGAAATGAAATACTTGGTTAACACCCTACCAATGTCCTCTGTCTCCCCATGCTGTTGACAGCTTCTATAGTAGTGTTCCCCATCGAGTTGCCTGCCTCAAAATCAATTGAATGTATGTGTGTAAACATGTTTATGTGTTGTGAGAAGGTGACACCTGCAGGATCAGCAATTGCAAAATTGTAGATCTGCTGGTAGAAGTGGATGAACTTGCTACTGCTCGAAGTTACATAATGTGACAGCGCAGGTCAGGAAGGTGTGCAGTCAGCCATTTGTACAAGATAGGGGCAGGGAAAGTAATTGAATTTTCACTTATAAAATAATTCTGAACAGTTTTGAAACATACTATAACAGTTGACAAATGATATTGTTTTAGTAGCAACTCATGTTTTGTGACCTTTGTAAGTAAGGCCACAGTCCTCAATAACAGTTGTCATTTAATCATAATGTCTCCTTTATCCTCATCACAATTGTTTGCTACCCCATAATTCATTATGATTCCAATATCCCAATATCAGGCCAATAACCTAAAAGAATCAAACTTGCCAAACAACTCCAACAGACGGACAAGATCACACTTTGCCACCAAACCAAAATCAACATATATTAAACATGAATTAACAGATAATTTTTATTTACTAGAAGTTAAAAATCACAGTTTACATAGCCAATATAACAAACCTAGATCTCTCAAATTTACTGTCAGCCCCCTTAGCACACATGATACCATGTGCAGCCACAAAGTCCTTCATAAATTCTGTCTTCCTCAGACAGAGTTCAACCTGTTTTCTTCAGAACGTATTTTTTCATCAAATTATTTCCAACTGTATCTTTACTTCATGAGTTCCAGGTATCTGGTTATCAAAGGGGTTACTTTCCAGAACCTCCTTAGCTTGGTTCACACGAGCGTTAGATTTTAATTTTTCACAGTTATCCTACACATGTGAAACTACCCCTTGCCTGCCTTGAACTCCTGCTGATCTCTGAAAGTTTTGTGCTTTTTCCCAATCCAGTTTCCATTCTCCAATAACTTGAGGTCACAGTCTGATGTCATAGCCACATATCCTAAATTACAACCTTTCTTTCTCAAAAATCTGAAGTTTTGGTTTCTCTTTCAGATTTTGTCTTAAAAAATACAGACTTTGAAATTCAAAGTTTGTGCAGATAACAATTTGTACTTGGTTCCCATTGGTCTGGGTCTTACAAAGCAGTGAATTTCATTACAATATTCATATTCTGAGCTTTTTACATATCTAGAAATCTGCAATTTTTTTATTCTTCATAAGTGGTCTGTGCAACAGTGGAGCAATATGAGAAAAGGCGTGAAATCGTTAGGGAAGGGTAGCTATTTGACAAAATATTTCCTATGCAATAACTTGATGGGAGTTGGTTCCTTACACAGTGCAAGAAGGTTTGATAAGTGCTGTTGTCATTGTTATTCTGAGATACGTTAATTTTAACGAAAATACTAAATTGGCGTGTCCAACAAAAGATATTTTTCTGTTTGTTACATTATTGTCTATTTTCCATAATTGTGCAGCTTTTAATGCAGGCTTGCTTAAGTTTCTGATGTTTTTCATTATCTTTGTATAAAAAAGTTGATTTTCAATATTGCTGTTCTTTCTCGGTGGATGTAGTGTCTGTACTTAGAGTCTCCATCATTGCCCCTGCAGATGCTTTCACTCTGTGACCTACCAGTGGTTTTACCCTATGGTAGGTTACGTCATGCTGTTCTACCACAGGGTAGAACCACGGACAGGCTGCTGAGAATCTTTCTGCATCAATGGAAACCATTTGTTTTTGTACTGAGGTTCTTTCTTATTCTGTAACTTTTTGTGCTGAACATTTTAGCTGAAACTGTAATTTGTTGTATAAAAATTCAGGTTAAGTATAACTTGATTCCAGTCATCTTTTTTGTCTGATACCAAGTGAACTAAATAAGGTAGTATACCCTGTTTCTGTCTAACTGAAATTTACAAAGATAATTGTATTTTGTTTTTGAAAAAATAAGTAATTATGATTCTGCTGGTGGCTCTTAATCAAATGATGTATCTGTCATAGACTTTAAATTGT